CTCCTCAGCAGCCGCAGGGGAAATGTAAGTGCCCTTCAGGTGCATACGCTGCTCGCAGGCCCACCCCTGACCCTCCAAGGCCCTTCGCCGCCGGCTTCCAGCAGCAGAGGCCTCCCTCAGGCCTCCCCTTGGCTCAGCCCTCCCCATCCCACCCTCAGCACTAGAAACAGACTTCTGTTCATGTGACGTGTCCTGTACAGTCAAGGTCAGGAGACCATCCCTTAGGCCCTGGCCCTGCTCCCCAGTCAGGAGCTCGGCTCCTAAACTCCCTGATTATCCCGGCTCCTCCCGGGAGTCCGTCACCTGTCTGGAGGCCCCAAACTGCAGGGAAGACCTGCTGTAAGCTACCTGTCACCCCAGAGAAGAGCCACACCCACTCACACACAGCGCTCTGCACGTTTGGGCATCGCCTCCCCCCACGGGCCACGGACTGCCGGGGCCCAGGCTCTGCGGACTCCGAGCATTTTTCAGCAGAGGCTGTTTTCTTCAGCTTCATCTTCAGTCTCTGCTGGGAGGCTGGGACCCGCGGTTCCCTGCCCAGGTCCCCGCAGCTGCATCTTCTCTGAAAGCAGCTCTGGCCGCCCAGCGGGTGGACGCGGGAGCGGCCGGCAGAGAGGGCGCCGTGGGTGGGCGGCGGGGGTGCAGAGCCCCACGCTGACGGCTCTCTCGGGCGCTGCCTCCCAGCCTTCGCCAAGGCCCTGAAGAACCTCTACACCAGCCAGGTGGACATGAGCTTGGACGAGGTGCTGGGGGTGCTGGCCTCGGCCCACGCTCTCCAGTTCAGCAGCCTGTTTCAGAAGTAAGGGGGCGTGGAGAGGCGCGGCCAGGGCCAGCCCGGGNAGTTCAGCAGCCTGTTTCAGAAGTAAGGGGGCGTGGAGAGGGGCGGCAGGGGGCCTCAGGACCCAGCTCATGGCCCATTCCTCTTCCCTGGGCTACGGCACCCAGAGTTTCTCTTCCCAGGAACATACTCATTCTTAAAAATATGTTTTTATTGATTTTAGAGAGAGGGAGGGGCAGGGAGAAAGAGAAACATCGACCGGCTGCCCCTGCTGGGGATCGAGCCCACAATCCGCCTGAGCCCTGACCGGGAATCGAACCGGTGACCTTTTGGTGCCTGGCTGATGCNGAAAGAGAAACATCGACCGGCTGCCCCTGCTGGGGATCGAGCCCACAATCCGCCTGAGCCCTGACCGGGAATCGAACCGGTGACCTTTTGGTGCATGGCTGATGCCAACCACTGAGCCACACTGGCTGGGCCACACTCGTTTTAATTAACGGCGCTGGCTCACGGGAATGACATGCACCTGGGAGGGATTTCTCGGGTGTGCAAAGCGACTCCCAGGAGCACTCGGCCACGCTTGTCAGTTTCACCCGTGTTCCTCTTTGGCTAAAAAAAGTCTCTCCATTTAGTCACAGGCACAAAAACTGGTCATTTGAAGACAAGCTGACTTTCCGCATCACTGTCAGGCTCGTTTTTCCACTCATTTCCGACAGAGCCTTGTGTTTTCTTGTCAATAACAATATTATTTTTGCAAGTGTTACATGTGCTCATTCGGGAAGAGAAAAATTCAAAGATCAGAGTCCAAATTGCCCCTCAGTCCAACTGCCTATTTGGGACACACCCTTTCTCCTGGGCTTTCAGATCCCACTGGCCCACCCACGGGTCTTCTGGCCAAATGTCCATACCCCTCAAACGAGGCCCCTTCCTCGGGGAGGGCCCTGCCGCCGTCCTGGAGCCGAGTGAGACCCTCCGGGGCTGCCTAGGGTCTGAAGGCAGCCCAAGGGCTTCGGGAACAGCAGTTCTGTCTCTGCAGGTGCGTGGTCATGATGGTGAAGGGACTCGCGCCCAGGAATGTCACTAACTTCTACCTGGCCGGCTGCAAGGTGAGAGCAACCTGGGCAGGGCATGTAGCACCCGGGGGACCTGCAGAAGCACCCGATTCTGGGTCTTGCACAGGGTCCCACTCCAAAACATATCCACCCTAAGGCAGCGATTCAAGGGTGCCAATATTTTATTTTGCCAAGTGAACAATTTTTTAAAAAATATATCTTTATTGATTCAGAGAGAGGATGGGAGGGGGAGAGAGAGAGAGAGAAACATCAGTGATGAGAGAGCCATTGATCGGCTGCCTCCTGCAAGCCCCCTGCTGGGGATCGAGCCTGCAACCCGGGCCTGTGCCCTGACCGGGAAACGAATCGCAACCTCCTGGATCCCAGGTCGATGCTCAACCGCTAAACCATCCCCAGCTGGGCGAAAAAACATTTTATTTTTAAAAGGATATTTTAACACCTAAAAGATAGAAAAACTTTGATCTTGGTGGGCGGGAGGGGGGACAGCACAGCCTTTCTCCCCAAAACTTCAAACAGCCTTCCAGGATATTCTTGCTGGTGCGGAGTGAAATTTGTCCCACCTGGGCCCCGTCAGCATCAGCAAGAAAGGGAGTTATCCTTAACTCTCCAGAAAACGGAGGCCCAAGGAGGGAGCACCCTGGACAAAATGTCTCGGTGGCCGTGCTGGGTTCGAGCCCCAGGCGGTCCGACTCCAGCCTCCCCCCATGAGGCCACTCTCACTGAAACAGACACATTTGACAGTGACATTCAGTTCAGGCACAGTCAGCATGTCACAAGCTGTTATCATAGCACCTAAGGATGCTTTAAACGCCTGTTTTGTCAAAGATAAGGTGCTGTCCTCACTCCATCGGTCATTAGAAGTCCCTCGGGGGGTGGCATCTCTGCATCCCTGTCAGCACCGTGGCCCTGAGGAAGTGCAAGGTGCACTAAGAGCCTGCCAGGGTCCCTGGTCCCCAAGACCTTAGCCACGGTCCCTGCACTTTCCCTTTAGGGCATGTGCTCACGACTGGCCCTAGAACTCCACACTGGGGGGACCCCGCGGGACCTCGGTCACCAGTCACTGACTTAGTCCGGAGATTTCAGCGTGTGAGCCCTGTGGTGGGACCCCTGGGGTTTGCACCCCGCTCTGGGGTGTGACCCCAGGCAAGAGTGGGAATCTTGGAGCCTTGGTTTCTCCATCGGTAAAATAGGGATCACAATGAACTGACCTCACGGGGCTGTAGATTTACATCGACCCCGTGCAGTGCCTGAGCTCGGCAAACACTCAGAAAACGTTACCCCCCGCAGTTTATCTGTTTTGAAGACAAGGTCTGAGCTGGTCTGGGCACAACCCCCTGACTGCACGCGTTCGCCTCGGCGCGGCCCAGCAGAGGGCGCCGGGGGTCAGCGCTTCCTGCACCCACTGGCTTTTCTGGCCTCAGTACAGGGAAGAGCCGCTCACCTCCGCCTGCGAGAAGTGGCTGGAAATGAACTTGGTCCCCGAGATGGGGAATCAGATCCACCTCCGGAAAATCCCAAAGGAGCTGCTCCACAAAGTGCTGAAGTCCCCCAGGTCAGAACCGGCTGCAGGGCGTGCGAGTGTGTGTGGGGAGCAGGGCCGGGCGGGGGAGGGAGGGGCTCCAGCCGGCAGCACCCCCACCCCTGCTGGACACACCGTGTGCAGCCCCTGCTCCATNCTCTCGCCTCCTGCACAGCCAGGGGGGCTGAGGCCTGGGGGCTGCGCGGGGCAGGGGCGGGGGTCAGGACCTGCCACGTGCCCACTGTCTCATTACCCACCTGGTAATTAATTAATTGCCTACGTAATTAAAAAAAAAATCCCGCCAACATTTATATACATTCATTGTGGAAAATTTGGAAGACAGGGAAAAACAGAAAAAGGAAACTAAACGCTCTGGCCCTAAATCAGTTTCTATCCCCAGCCCTGACTCCCCTGGGCCCAGATGGTCACCCTTATGACAAGGCTAAAACCCAGCTCGGTGCCCAATGCTTAGCCTTTTAGGCGATTTCCAGTGGTTTGCAATATACGTAGCACCTGGGCAACATTCAATTAAAGTCCTGGAAGTGGAATTCCTCAGCTGAAAGGAATTTCTATTTCTTTTTATTGGTATTAAAAAATATATATTTTATTTGAAAATAATTTCAAACAAGTAAAAATTACAGGACTAGTACAAAGAACACCTGTGTGCCTGTCACCTGTTAACCTCTCCCTGTTCACACACACACACACACGTTTTTCCCTGACCCCTTTGGGGGCCGGTAGCTTCCACCGTGTTCCCTTACCCTCGATGCCCGTGTTCATTTCCTAATAAAAAGAATGTTTTAAAATAGAGTCACAAAGCAGTTATCAACTCCGGGAAATTTAACAGTGGCGTAATCGATGCCTTAACATCGCGACCAGTACTGTCCTTTATGGCATGGTCCTCCGGCAGCTGCCGCTGGGCCCACACGTTGCCTTTCTGGCCGCGCCTTGTTGGGTCTGTTTAAAAGGGTCTTGATACCACTGCCAGGCGCCAAGACTGTGTTCCCTTTGGGTGGGTTTCACAGGTGAGCGCTAAGTTCTACTAAAAATGTTCGTGGTGCACGAGAAAATAAATGTCTGCTTCTGCGGCGCTGGCCGGTGTGGCTCGGTTGGTAGGAGCATCGTCCTGCACACCGAAGGGCCTTGGGCTCAATTCCTGGTCAAGGGCACGTGCCTGGGGGCAGGTTCGATCCCTGGCCCCAGTCGAGGTGCGTGCGGGAGGCAACTGATTGATGTCTCCCTCTCACATGGACGCTTCTCTCTCTCCCTTCCTCTCTCTAAAGATCAGCTTTAAAATATCTTTTTAAAAATGTTTACATACGTGGTGGAAAGCATCCTAGTTTCAGGATTAGACCTGGGAAGACTTACTGCCCTGTTGGTTCATGTTTACTTAGCGTATGGAGAAGTGAGGTGGGTAGAGCAGCTTTTGGTGTTGAAGGAAACCCTGGTATCTAAGGAGACGCTGGGAGCTGGGGTCCCAGCAGCAGCTGCAGGGCACCCGAGGGCTCCCCGGGGCCATTCTGCCTGCCCCCCTGCTTTCCCCACAGTGCCCTCTCCCGCCCTCCAGGGGAGCTGGCGAGGGGAAGATAAACAGGGCACCCTTGGACTTCTCATAACTGCCCCGCCCTCGGAAAGACTGAGCTGTGCCCCC